GCGGCGCAATCCGACGACGGAGGTAGTCGCCGTACACCATGGCCCCTGTGAGCCCCTGGGATCGCAGGCCCGCCAGGCGGTCGAGGACGGCGTCATAGCCATCCCCCAGATCTACCGGCGCCCGCCAGCTGGAGACCTGCGCCGGGGGCTGGCTCGGAAGTCGGAGGCGCGCTTCGTCGGCGAGGGGAGTGTAGAACCAGTCGCTCTTCCAGTCGTCCCACTTCTTGCGGAGGGCGCAGGGGATGTAGCGGTTCAGCACCGGCCCCCGTGGCTGGAAGTAGCAGCCACCGACTACCGATGGCGGCGACACCGACTGCACGGTGAAGAACCACCGGAACAGCCGAAGAGATGGGCGCACCCCAATGAACATCTCGCACAGATGCGCGAAGATGGCCAATGTCATCACCGCGTTGGGGGTGAGGTGCGCCATCTGGAGATCGTAGAACTCCAGAACATCCATGAAGAAAGAAGAAAATGGTGGAACCAGCCCTGCCATTGCAAAGGGGAGAAAGAAGACGAACCGCCCCGGGTAGTCTGGCGCCGGGCGTCCCTCGCCCAGCGTGACTATCTCCCGGCCGGTGGCAGATTCCGGCATGAAGCGGCGCGACAGCCCAGCCTGCCTCTCGCTCACGATCCGGGAAGGCGGCAGCACGCTACCATCGAGCAGAGCGGAACCCCGTGCCATGGCGCCGGAGGAAGAGAAGATTAAGAGCGAGCGCGTGTGGCGAAGGTAGGGCACAGGAAAGAAGGAGTTAGGGCGCAAGCGGCGAAGACAAGGGGAATAATGGCGAAAGGAAGGAAACAGATCCCTTCCTCAGTGCCTTTATACTCTTGCTAACGCTGTGCCCGGCTCCTCGCTTCTCGCGCCCACTATTTCGCCCCCTCGTTTCTCGCGCCCTCGCTTCCACTAATCCCATTCGCCCGCTTGCGGCGCATGAGGTGGGTATGCGGTTGTGGCAGTCGAGATAGATCATATCGTGCGCGCGTTAATTACGCTTGCCGACCGAAGCGACGTTACCATATCTTCAGACGAAACGAATCGCCATGTCCAGATTCGTGTGCTACTCAAGTAATGTGGCAGTCTTGAAGAGACCGCTCATTGTTGACAGCCGAGTTACCATTGCCGATGTGCGTGGTTTGTGACCGTTGGGTTTCTGCCCAATTGTGGAGACCGGTCCCACCTGTCACCAGGTCTTAGGAGTGGCGTCACGCCCGCCCGTTTCCCTTAAAGAAGGCGATCGCCCTGGCATAACGCCGGGGGCTACTGTCGGTGACATGGGATCAGGAGTATCATGACTAGAGGTTTGAGGCAGACACAATCGCACACGTGGCCTGGTACCCCCGAGGGACGTCGGGCCCGAGGGTGATGCGTTCGCCCTCCTCTTAGTCCCCCCGAGGGGGTCGGGCCGCACCCCCCTCGGCCCCGAGGGCTGAGGCGCCCCGACCCCTCGTGGGTTTTTGCTCCGCGTGTATGGGTTAGGTGAGCACAGTGGGGCTCACCTAACCACATTTATTGCGGTTTGGCTGAGCGTGTCACGCCGCATGTAACGCAGTGCAGTGCACTCGTTTATCCGGTCTGTGACCAGTCACAGACCGGTCAGATCGCGGGTTAGGTGGCGACAGGCGATCTGACGCACGCCTCGCCCCATCCCGTCAGGACGAGGGCTTCTAGGCGCTCGTCCCCAGCTGGAGCTAGCGTGTTACCTCCCAGAGATGGCACGTTAGTCCTGGTCAGATATATGCCAGGCTTCATCCTAACCATTACAGGCAAGATGTTTTGTGAAGAAGGGCGAGCATGTAGATTGCTAAGCTGACACGTGGTGGACAAGAATGACCGACGTGACTGGTCTGATACCAGTCATGTCGTTAGCAGACAGCCACGATTCCACGTCGCACCTGCTCCCGGCGAAAGTGGAGGTAGTTGTGGGCCGTCTCATCAGAAGGTGACTCGGACGGCAACTATACAAATCTCCGTCCATTTATGAAAAGGGGGGGTAAGTCCCCACAAAAAAGAGAGAAATGGTGCATGTGGTATCCCCTTAAGATATAAAAGGAGGACCTTGCCCACTGAGAGGGGGGACTGGACTTTTCCAGATTAGAAACCCAGAACAAGGGAGAGGCTGGCTGATACTTTGTAGCTCCTTCATACACAGATCTCCCAAAACACAGGAGTAGGGTATTACGCTTCTCAGCGGCCCGAACCTGTATACATCGCCCGTGTCTTGTGTGTTTCCTGTCTCGCGAGCCTTCCACATACAGAGAGCTTAGAATCTCTCCCTGAGTCCCCGGCCGAACCGGCAAAGGGGGGCCTGCGCGGTCTCCCGGTGAGGAGCCCCACGCTCCGTCAGCATATCTCAAATTTTGTAAAATTATAATGGTATGATTCCAATTTTTCCTTATTATTATAGCCACTTGCAGTAATGCTTGGATTATATTGCTCGTTGTGAACTCAGTGGATGGGATCAAATGACAGGGCTGCTGGTCACCCCCCGAATGCATCTGGCATTGGATGTTGGTGTTGGTCATGCATACAAGACGACATCAACTATTGTGCGTGGCTGATCTGTTTGGATAACCTAGCTTAACAGCAAGTAGCAACTGCCATAAAACAGTATATAAGCTCAAGTTGCCTTCTCACACATACTCTTACAGTCTCCTTAGGTCGAAATCTGAAGGAATTCAAGCAAACAACTATACGAAAATTAAACATAGTTAACTATAATTAAGCTGTGCTGCTTGCCTGCCACTAGTCTGCAGATCTCTTATATAACTATATATACTTCGCAATTCCCTTTTCTCGCTTTTTCTTATTTTAAACAGGCTTTAGTACTTCAATTCCTTTCCATTTTGAAAAAACAAGTACATAAAAGCGTAGGCATGGCAAGATAGAACACACAACACGACGAGGAGTGTATGAACATGTATGCTTGATTGATTGATCAGCTTAAATTGCTTTAATTTTGTGTCCTGAATATGTTTTTTTTAGAACTGTCCTGAATATGTAGAACTTCGGTGCGTCCCAAGCTGTGCCGCAACGATAAGGCCGACACGGCCGATGAGGCACGTCCGGGGATGCATTATTGTCTGGACAACATCAGGCGCTTGCTAATTGATCATTGACGGCTTCTTGATTAGAAATCACTCGCTATAAATGTTGGAGTACTTGACATACACCTCTTTGATAAGATGCCTTGAAAATACATATTTCAAATTAATTCGAGAATTATTCTTACATATTTCAAATTACTTCGAGAATTATTCTTCTATATGCTATAAAAACCTTAAAATATGAAATTATTACTTTGTGTATAATCTAGCACCGAAGGATCTTGAAATATTCCATAAAGAATCTTAAAATACGTTTTCCTTAGACGGTAGTATGATGGGCCGATATAAGCACGTTTTTTTAGCAGTCCGGCCCAGAAAGCCCAGGCAAACAAAAGAAAACGTACGCGCGCCAAAACGAAACCAGGATCCGACAGGAAGTTGACACGTCGGACGCCACCCTGTCCTACGTGGCCGGAACGGACCACCCGCGTATTGACAAGTCACCGCCGCGGTGGCGCCACGGGAGCCACGTGTCACGCGCCCATGAGCCGACCGGTCGCGCTCAACTAGTGGAGGCTCCGGCATGCAGGATTATGATTGCCATTTGTTTAATCCAGTCTCTAATGATGGATGGTTAGTGCGGTTTGGCGTCCGTTGCATTTGCGGGTTTCAGCGAGCTAGACGCCCTAGACCCTCTCCGGCTCGTAGAAAACTCGGTTTAAACACGCAACTCCGTGGGCTCGTTTCGAGTTTGTATTTTGTCTTTGTGTGCTTTTAGCTCGGTGCATGGAAGTTGCAAGCATCTTAAAGTGGAAAGTTTTGTGCTTGCCGGAAATCAAATGCTCAGTTGTTCTTTTCACTACTGTTATATCAATCGTGCAGGGACTCTCGAGAAAACATCCTTTTATTATTTACATGCTATCGAAATAGTTATAAAAAAATTAACTAAATAGATTAATATGTGGTAAAACACTCCACAAACATATAAGTTAAAATTCAATTTCTTTAAGTTGTAAAAAAATTAAATTATAACTATTTAACGTATATTCATAGTTTTTTTCGTTTCTTGTACAGGTTAAATTTGATCTTGCATATTTGTAGACTGATTTATCACATATTAATCTATCCTATTACTATTTTAAAATTTGTTCATAACTATTTAGATGATACACAAATAATAATAATGTTCGAGAGTTTAGAATAATTTCCTCAATCGTACTGCACTACTGATACATATACGTCCTGCCTCTCAAAACCATGGAAGATGCCGCTGTATTGTGTGTTCTTTTTGCTTAATTAAACTTACTCTTTCTGAAACATAATTTTAAGGACTACCGGAAAGATAAGGAGGTCGCATAGTGCTAAAGCTCGTAGGTTCAAATCTTCACCCCCTCCTTAATTCAAACATATAACCTCCGTTCTAAATTAAATCAATCTAGAATAGAATAAGACATTACCTAATTCAACGAATTTGGTAAACAAACTCTTATTTAAATTTGTTTATGTAATATCATATTTTATTTTAGATTGATTTATTTTGGTACACAAGGAGTAGGTGATTTCTACCAATTTTTTTTTAGAGAATATGGGGAATTGGAAGTCTGAAACTGAACTACGTACTGAAGCACTTCCGTGTAATTCTGCATCTGGTCAAAAAGCCTGTCTGTCCTGTGTGTCTCCTCTGAATTTTGCCGGTAATCCGGCTCCCTTACGTACAATAGGTAGTGTGGTGCATCTTATCTCCACGACTCCCCTCCATTACTCGCACATGCCTCTGAATTGATCGACAAGTCCACAGGGTAAGTACTTCTGTTAAAGTCTTTCTTTTTTTTCCCCCGCGGTGCCCACTAAGCAAAGAACAAAAATCACACAGACTGAAATGACGGCGACCCGAAATATCTTTACTATTAAAATTCCACTGCGCACTGTCACCTTCCTATATAAACGGCCACCCTCGCCGTGCGACGAGAGAACTCTTCTCCCACGAGACCAACGTTTTCTACTGTGCACGTGCGTACGTTGGTTTCCTCTTGGAGTTTTACACGAAGGAATTGAAGTGAGCTACCAAGACATGGACGTCGAACAGCTGCAGCAGCATGCCAGGAGGCTTCTGTCGAACGGCAGGGTGGTGTCGGCGGCGGCGGCCGCCGGCGCGTCGCCTGGTCCGGCTGGGCGCGTGTTGGAAGGCGGCGCGGCGGCGGCGGCGCGTCGTCCGGCACCGTTCAGCTCGCTGGACGCGACGGTGATCACGGTCCTGTCCCTCCTCCTCTGCGTGCTCGTCGTCGGGCTCGTGCTCCACGCGATCGCCCGGTGCGCGTTCCGCGTCACGCGGCGCATGTGCTACGGCCAGGAGCCGCCCGGGGATCACGGCGACGAGGCGGCGGCGGAGCGATGCGCCCGGGTAGCCAGGAAGAAGCCGGGACGCGCCATCGCGGAGAAGATCCCGGCGATCGTCTGCCCGGCCGGCGGGCTCGATCGGCTCGCCGGCTGCGGCTCGACGGAGTGCGCCATCTGCCTCTCCGAGTTCGCGCAGGGTCACCGCGTCCGCGTGCTGCCGCGCTGCGGCCACGGCTTCCACGCGCGGTGCATTGACCGATGGCTCGCCGCGAGGCAGACCTGCCCGACGTGCAGGCGGGAGCCGTTTGCGGCGGCCGCGGCCGTGCAGCTGCAGGTTTACCCTGACGCCGCCGGCGGCCAGCACGAGACGCCTTAGCACCAACGTGACTCAACTGTACAGTAGGCTATCACAGTAGTTGGGAACACAGTGAACATTTTTTTGCTTTTCTTTTGTCATCCGAGATACTGTGGTCATTATCTCTGTTTTTTTTTTCTTTTCTGTTATGTTCATGTCGAAGTGACCCGGTTCCGATGAAATGAAGGTGAAAACCACCCGAGTAAATTTTACTGAAAACTGCAAAAATATGTACCATCAGGTTGTGATTTGGTTCAGGCTTGTAAACCCATTTGCAAATATTGCACGGAGAGTGCCAACTTTTGAATCGTCTGAATTGTTTCAGACACGATGGGAGCTGCATCTGGAGTGTTTTTTTTCTACTTTCGAGAGGTATAATACTCTACTAAAATATTATATATACAATAGAACTGAACAAAAACTCAACTCAGGAGTATAATATACATACTCTCTCTAGTCAAATTTATTTTATGTTGAGTTTAGTTCTCCCAACGTCAAATATTTTTACTAGATCAAGTATCTCTTAATATATTCTAAATACAAAACAAAAAAAAATCCATGAAATTGACGATATATTGTGTGATCTGTTCCACAATGAAATGGGCAACAGGCCCATTGAGTAAATTCGGCCCACGGACGTACTCCAGGAGTGCCAGCCTGCTACAACACTAGTCTGACGTTGTGACTCTACATTGTACTGTACATACGAGTATTGGTATAGTAGTAGCAGAATTAGAAAAAGAGGAATCGGCCTACGGTGTATCTCGTACTATAAAAGATGGATGTTTGTGTTGTGGATTTGTGGTGGCGTGTATCTCCCTCGTAGTCTGAAAAAGTTAACTAAGAACGCATATTTGCTAACCACGGGTAATTCCAGATTCCCTTGCTACTGGTTAAGAATCGTTTTGACTTGTACGGGGTTGCTGAATTTTCTTTGCCGATGAGTTATAGATGATGACGGCCGACTGATGAATTGGTGACTTCCTGAAGTTCAAAGCAGGTACGCTGAATAATGCGATGCTTATCGCTGTTTCTGAAGACATCATTTTCCCCTCTGTCTCACTGCAAAGTGAATCACAATACCATGTGCCATATTCGATTGTTTGCTGCAAAATGAACCTTCCGGGGAGGAAATCTAGTCAATTTATGAATAGTTTAGCGCAATAATTAGCTGAAATGGGGAGGCATGAAGCACGCTTTTTGACTGCAAGTCGGTTACATCTTCATTCCGTCTTCCCCCCGGCCGTCCAGAGTGGGAGCTGCAGCTACCACTGCCACAAACCTTTCCGCCTCACTGAATTATTGGCTCACGTAATGGGTTCTCCTGAGGCCTTCCACTACTGGAAGCTGCAAAGCACTGTACTATAGCTAGCGTGTGCCTCGTTAATTATACTTTTCTGTTGCCAATAATGCAGCCACTATTGCCCAGAACAACTGACACTAATACGCGGGCAAAGTGATCAACTGAGCCGTAGTATTCGCGTATCAACTTATCATATCCCCCAGTGCTGAAAGCACCAACAGGATATCAACATATGCTGTTCTTCCGGCATCATAGGATGGAACTGCGTCAACTTTCTGAAAGAGGGTAATACAGTATGAATTATTGCTGCTTTGCGTGGCTGGAAAAGTCAATTATTGGGGGAGAGTTCGGTTCTCTGCCGGCTGCTTGCTCGACCGAATGATGCATTCTGCTGTAGCTAGTGATAGTGCTACGCATTAGTGTTTTGTACGGTCTTAATCAATCGTGGTCTGTAGAATTTGATGGAGCAAGCTCTTCGTGTTGCATCCTTGGTCCAATCTTGTGCTTGATATGTCCGAGTCACAACGCATGAAAGTTGTTTCGCGTAATTTGTGTCGTATATACTCCGTATCTCCTAGCAGAAGAATATCACGATCATCCGACGAGGACTTGTGTTGACGTGACAAAATGGTCCGCGTTTTATTCGTGTGGCCCTGGTGTAAATCGGTTTAGCTCAGATCGCACCTCGGTAGAAAAGTGAACCCGTAAATGGTACGACAATTGGCGAGTTTTCTCCCCTTAACTTTGTCTTTTATTTTGCTTTTCTTTCATTTTTCTCTCTTTACTACTGTAGGCAGAAGCCAGAAAAGCTAAAGAGACGAATTTCCTCTCTTCTTTTTTTGAAGGAACTGAACACGGTGACGCCACAGGAGCAAGTAAGCAAGAGTATTTACTCCCAGAAGCCCAATCCATTGATCTTCGTGAGACTTTCAGGAGAATCCAAGCCCAAATAGGTCTCAGGCGAACGGCGACCAGCCCAACAGGCCTATAATTGGCATCCAAACTAAGCCCAAATAGACAAAAGCGCGGCAGCTGGACACCTTGCTATTCATCCTGGACTTTCGCAACGGGAAACTCATGGGCCCTCAAGGTGATTGGCAGCGCAGGCCGCCTTCGCCGTGCTAGCAGGATTTTTTTTATTAGTTTAAATTTTTATTTACAAAAAAAAATTATTCAAACTTATATTCTATCCGTCCTATAAAAAACGAATCTAGTACCGCATGTGATATATTCTAGTATGATGAATCTGGATAGATATATGTCTAGATTCGTAGTACTAAGATGTGTTACATCCGGTATTAGTTTGGTTTTTTATGAAACGGATGGAGTATGTATTTAGTAGTGCATCTCTACCCTCTCTTAAACGGTTTTTATGACATAACACACGACTGTGGATGCAAGTTAGCAGCCACGCGGAGGGAGGTCAACCATTTTACAGGCAGCCCTCTTCCGCTCTCCTAAAGGACTACAAATGGTTGCTCGTAAAATCTTCGTGCGGCCATTAACATACACCAACGGATATGTCACATATGCCACGTCATAAAAAAAATCATCTTGGAGGAAAATAGGGTTGTAGATTTATAAAGAGTAAATTTAACAAAATTAAAGGTAAGTTGATCAAATTACAGTAAAACTACATATTTAAGATAATATACCACAAAACTATATATTTAACATTAAATTTTTCCCAAAACTAGATATTCAAGGTGGAGTGCCGTAAAACTATAGATATAGAAAAATGTTATCACAAAATTACGGGTGTTTACAACTCAAACATAGAAGGATTTAAAACCTAAATTTTGTAATTTTGTAATTTTGTGATTTTTTACGATACTTGGTCATAAACCTAAAATTATGCAATAAACTTAGGCTGCGTTCAGGATAAGGGGTTGGGAACCCGAAGCACGCATTATTGCATAATTAATTAAGTATTAACTTTTTTTTAAATAAAGGATTAATATGATTTTTTAAAACTACCTTTTTATAGAATTTTTTCTGCAAAAACCTCACGGTTTAGTAATTTGAAAAACGTGCAGGCGGAAAACGAGAGATATGAGTTGGAAAAAATTAGAGGAATAACACAACATTAGTGTCAAATATATAGTTATAAATATGTAGTTTTGCTATAATTTAGTTATAAAGCATATGCAGTTTTGTAAAATTTAATCATTTATAAAGCTTTGAAAAAATATTTTTGTTTAACATTTTATTAATAACTAAAATTAAAAATATTCTGCAAGCAACCGGATCGCTGTCAGCCTATCACCGCCTCACCGGCGAAGGCTGACGGGGTCACGGGAGTAGGTTGCGCGGTCGGCTTCCACCGCACGCCAGCACGCCCCGTCCAAACCAGCCGGTGGCCCACCGGCCATTAAGAAACCGACTCCGACGTGGCCGTTCCGGTTTCGGCACCGAAAGTCCGTCCGTTTCCGTTGCCAACTTGCCAATACCCACCGACCCGGCACGCCAGTCCAGGTCAGGTCAGACACCTTCGGCTTGGCTGGCTCAGTGGTTCGCCCAGGTCGCCTGCCTCGTGCTCTGCCGTGCCGTGACGGTGCCATGTCACGTTCAAACGGCGAGGCAAAGGGGAGGAGGGTAGCTGAGCACACACGCGGTCCGTGCTTCTGCAGGCGAAGGTGACGCCGCAGAAGACTAGTCCAACGGGGCGGCTTCCACGCATAAAACGGCTCCCCTTGCTGCGCTTTCCGTTTCGGCTCTCCCATTTGTCTCGCGCTCGCTGTCTCGCGTCAGCGGCGGAGCTCTCTAGAAGGAGCAGAGGAGTCCCCCCCAAGCGATCGATTCGATCCCCTCCGCCGCCGATCGCCTCGCCGAAGTCTCCGAGGTGTAAGCCCGTTCGATCTCTCCCTCTCCCTCTCCATCCTTGTTTCGATCTGATCCGTGGAATCGCTTCGCTGGATCGCCGGTAGAGCTTCCCGTGCTTTGTTGTCCGGGTGATTTTTCCGGGGAATTTCGCGCTGTTTTCGTGGACTGTTTGTGTTGACCTCGGCGTTTGGACGCTTGCGGTTGATAGCTGTATCCTCTCATGACTAGCAAGGGAATTCATGGCGTTTGTGTACTGTATGTTGTATAGTCTGATCCTTGGTCGGGTTGTATGCTGCAGTTGCAGACAGCAGAGCAGTTCCAATATCACTTCTGGAGATGATCTCAAACTGCATAATACCTATTCTAATACTTTCTATTTCCTTTCTAACAATCCGCTGCGCAGCTAGTTGTATGTTACTTCAGTCGATACTTGCATCATGCATCCAGAATTCCAGACAAATAGTTGTATGTTACTTCATGTTGTGTTTTTTCCTTTGTTAACATGAAACCTCTGATGTGTCACATCGTGATTGTGTTTACCTTTATTGCGTAGTTTTTTTTAAAAGATCCATACTGCCTTACTGAAATCAAAGCGAACTCAAATGAAAATTCTTTCTTATTTTGCATGATCATACATTCAGTCCCAGGTGCCACTTCTAATGGTTAGTCCCATGTTGTGTTTTTTCCTATACCTGATCAGTTCCCTAATGATATGATCTGTATTTTATTGGTTGTTCGTTGGCATGTTGTAAATGTTTAGTGATTGCTACTTCATTTTTTTTATCATGCACTTTATTTGGGCCCAGGAGTAAGCTCGGTGGCACTTAAGCAAAACAGTGCTTAAGTTAATATGCACAATAATTGATTTTTGAATGCATTCTGAATACTGATATTTGTTGCAGAAACACTTGAGGGATGGCTGAAGAGGATATCCAGCCTATTGTCTGTGACAATGGCACTGGAATGGTCAAGGTTAGTTAATTTTCCTGCCACGCTGTAAAACTGTTAGTTCGCACAATTGGGATGTTCAGATTCTCTTTTGCCTGCTAATACATTTGTAGCACCCAACGAATTGATCATTTCTTCATGTGGAATAGGCCGGTTTTGCTGGTGATGATGCACCCAGGGCTGTCTTTCCTAGCATTGTAGGCAGGCCACGCCACACTGGTGTCATGGTTGGTATGGGCCAGAAGGATGCCTATGTGGGTGATGAAGCTCAGTCGAAAAGAGGTATACTGACATTGAAATACCCAATCGAGCATGGTATTGTCAACAACTGGGATGACATGGAGAAGATATGGCACCACACCTTCTACAATGAGCTCCGTGTGGCTCCTGAAGAGCATCCTGTATTGCTGACCGAGGCTCCTATGAACCCCAAGGCAAACAGAGAGAAGATGACCCAGATCATGTTCGAGACCTTCAACTGCCCAGCGATGTACGTTGCCATCCAGGCCGTTCTTTCGTTGTACGCCAGTGGTCGAACAACTGGTATGATGATTGCTGTACAAAAAAAACCATTTGATTTTAACATACTTATCTAAAAAAAATTGATTTTAATATCCAATGAGTAGTCGAACTGCGCTAACTAGTTTATAAATGCAGGTATTGTACTTGACTCTGGTGATGGTGTAAGTCACACTGTTCCAATATACGAAGGATTTACACTCCCGCATGCTATTCTTCGACTCGATCTTGCTGGGCGTGACCTTACCGACAACCTTATGAAGATTCTCACAGAGAGGGGTTACTCCTTCACCACAACTGCTGAGCGGGAAATTGTCAGAGACATAAAGGAGAAGCTCGCCTATGTTGCTCTTGATTATGAACAGGAGCTTGATACTGCCAGGAGTAGCTCCTCTATTGAGAAGAGCTATGAGCTGCCTGACGGCCAGGTCATCACCATCGGAGCAGAAAGGTTCAGGTGCCCGGAGGTGCTCTTCCAGCCATCTTTTATTGGTATGGAAGCTCCTGGCATCCATGAAGCCACATACAACTCCATCATGAAGTGCGATGTTGATATTAGAAAGGATTTGTACGGTAATGTGGTCCTTAGTGGGGGATCTACAATGTTCCCTGGTATTGGTGATCGTATGAGCAAGGAAATAACTGCACTTGCCCCTGGCAGTATGAAGATCAAGGTAGTTGCACCGCCAGAGAGGAAATACAGTGTCTGGATTGGTGGTTCCATCCTGGCTTCTCTCAGTACCTTTCAGCAGGTATCCATTGTCTCAATGCATATACTTTTGTTTCATCTGCTTAACGAGATTACCAAACTATGTGTCTTAATGCATTTTTAGTCCATTGTCTGCAAGACACTGCATCCTTGCAAACATTTAACAAACTTTTTGGTGTTGCTTTCTTTGACATGCTCCTTGGGCCATGTGCTGTGGACTGTGTCAAAGGGTGGAGATGTACTTGATCTTTCCATTATCTTAAAACACAAAGGCCAAGACAGGACTTTACTAGGAAGTTCAATATATACTTAGTTCATGGATTAGAAATAATGATTTTTAAAAGGAAATCTTAGCGTCAAACTGTTAAGTACCGACCATGTCAAAAAAAAACTAGTGTAATTTTGTTGCATACTACATGATGTATAAGACATAACTCCTATTACATAAACCTGATTGTTTGTGAAGTTTTTAGACAGTTCTCTTTGTCTAGTAATATGCACTACTATTTCTTCTTTGAAATTGGTATTTCTATTGCTGATCATTTTGCTCTGCAAAACTAATGACATCCACTTAATTTGTCACAGATGTGGATCTCCAAGGCCGAATACGATGAATCTGGTCCAGGCATCGTCCACATGAAGTGCTTCTAAGTTTGTGGGCAGATTTGTACCATTATCAGCTGATTGAGACGTGATCTGCAGATTGTTTGCATGCGTCCCATGGTTTCAGTAGCACCTGAGGGCTGTTGGCCATGGGGCAATGCGGAAGGTGAAGTCAATTGGTGTACTGGAAGAAATCTGTCCAGGTAGTGTGCAGTGTAGGTCGTCTGAGTCGGTCAGTTTTTTCAGACAATGGCATCGCATCAGGGCATTCCTAATGTATGCAATGGATTGTTGTGTTGGGTTTCACCGGGCAACAAGGATGTTTGCCCGTGCAGTTTGAAAGCTTTTTGTTTCGAATTTTCTACTAGCCGAATTGCGGGTCTTAATGATTGTACCTCTAGTTTTGTTTTCTCTCTTGAAGATAACTTATTTTTGTGTACGTAGTAAAGGTTTATTTGTATTTGAACGACTTGTAGTGTTTTGGATGTTATGCTTTCCCCCTTGGGACTGAGTAGCTTGTTTAAGCTCCCTGAGCGAAGGCACGTATGCGAGGATAGTATCACCTCGCTGTTTGGGGGTGAAAATGCACATTTTAACCTCTGGTAAACCAAAAATACCGTAAAAAATGATTTGTGTGCGCATTAACAACGCCGCCTAGGTACGGCCCAGTCCAGGCCAATTACGCTTTCGGGCCCAACATTTCGCTGAACGCAAGTGACAACTGCTGGGTCCCAGAATCCATGCACCGAACGAGCCAGCCAATCACAGCACAGGAAAACCGAACCACGATCCGCGTGACACCCCACTTCTCGCTCTCCCACCCCCAGCCAATCAGAATCCAGGAAACCCCTCCCCACGGATCGCGCCCCCACGATCCGCGTGCGCGAGGTCAAATCGCAATCCAAGCCGTCCACTCCCCTCCGATCCAACGGTCCAAACCCATCTTCCCTCGTGGAAACCGCGCCGCTCCGCCCAAAATTTCCCAAACTCCCGCCCTCCTCTCCCCTACTTAAACACCTCGCATCCTCTCGAATTCCCCATCTCATCCCAATCCCCCAAATCCACCCGAGCATTCGAAGCTTGTAGAAGAAGCCCTAGCCTCTCCTCCTCATCACCGATGGCCCGCACCAAGCAGACGGCGAGGAAGTCCACCGGCGGCAAGGCGCCGAGGAAGCAGCTGGCGACGAAGGCGGCGCGCAAGTCGGCCCCGGCCACCGGCGGCGTGAAGAAGCCCCACCGCTTCCGCCCCGGCACCGTCGCGCTCCGGGAGATCCGCAAGTACCAGAAGAGCACCGAGCTGCTGATCCGCAAGCTGCCGTTCCAGCGCCTGGTGCGGGAGATCGCGCAGGACTTCAAGACCGACCTCCGCTTCCAGAGCTCCGCCGTCGCCGCGCTGCAGGAGGCGGCCGAGGCCTACCTCGTCGGGCTCTTCGAGGACACCAACCTCTGCGCCATCCACGCCAAGCGCGTCACCATCATGCCCAAGGACATCCAGCTCGCCCGCCGCATCCGTGGCGAGAGGGCCTAGGCGTGATCTGCTCGAGAGGCTGTGATACCCTGGTAGTTCTAGTGGTGGTTCCTGTGTCTAGTCTGCACATGTAGAGATTTGATGGGGTTCCTTGGTTGGTGTTTGATCTCAGATCTGTCATGGCCTAGTTGGGGTGTTGCGTATGTAATTTATCTGTCTTACTCTTATGTGATCCCATGGTGTTGGAATGAAATGGAAGTGAAGAATTCTACTTATCACCAAATCCGAAAATTCTCCTGGAGTTTTTGCTTCTGGCATGGCTGATGATGTTCTTGTTACGTTTTTAGTTTTCCTTTTTATTAGGAAATTTCCTTCGAAATTCATTTGAATTGGCCGCTTTCCTTTTGTGCATTTTGCTCCAAATGCAAAGGCGTCCGTGTGTCTGACAAGGCCGGGCCCACTGTCATTCACTCAGTCCTGGGAGTGTTGTTATTCTCGTGCGCGTTGTGGTTAGTGGGGGTGCGACCGAATCCCAGCATTAGAAGGGAAGGGAAGCTTCTTTTTCGTACCCTATTCTCTACGATCGCCGCCCCCCAAGCCAAATCCACGCATCGACGCGGCAGGAGCGGGCGGCTGCTGCGAGATCGGCGGCGCCGCAGATCTCGCGCCCACCAGCGGAGATGAAGATCACGGCGCTCCTCGTGCTGAAGCCGTCGTCCTCCGGCGGGGGAGCATCCTCGTCCGGCGGCGGCGGCGGGTCGGGCGGCCCCGAGGCGGTGGTGCTGGCGAACGCGACGGACGTGAGCCACTTCGGGTTCTTCCAGCGGGGCGCCGCGCGGGAGTTCATCGTCTTCGTCGCGCGCACCGTCGCCCAGCGCACCCAGCCAGGCCAGCGCCAGTCCGTCCAGCACGAAGGTAAACAACCCATCGTCCTCCTCAGATCTGCCTCCGCACTTAGGGTTTGCTTGCTTTCTGACCCGATGCTCAGATCCGGTCTTCACATGGACTTGGATTATGTGGGATATAGACTTTTACCGCTGATCCGATAGTAGTCCAACATAGTTGGAACATCAGCGGGCTGTGGAACTACAGTATTAGCTTGCTTGTGGATGGAGTAGGTAGCGTTGCCTGTTAGTTCAATCTGATACGGTGTTGGGCTTCATGGGAACTATTTGCTTGTTTGTGGATAGGTAGTGTTGCCTGTTAGTTCACAATCTGATGCGCTGTTGGGTTTGTTTCAACATGGAACTCGTTTGTGGATAGGCAGTGTTGCCTGTTAGTTCAATCTGATGCGCTGTTGGATTTCGTTGAAAAGAGTGACCTTGTGTTCGTCGTAAGGATATCTGGTGAAAATATGGGACCTGATTCCAACGTTTATGACGAGTTATGATGCAATTGTTTGTGCAATCTGCAGTCGATGTTCATTTTCGGTCTAGTGATCAGGAGAATTCAGTTTGCTGTTGTTAATGAACGGTCATGTAAACAAGTTGTCCTGATATTTGCAGAATACAAGGTCCACTCACACAACAGGAATGGTCTTTGCGCAGTTGCATTTATGGATGATCACTATCCTGTACGAAGTGCATTTTCTCTTCTGAATAAGGTATGAGCCTTTGTTCTTGACATTCCTGTATTGCATATCCTTGTATTTGACCTAGGATCAGATTCACAAGCAATAAGGGATTGTCTCCTTGCTATTCTCAGTGGGATAAAACATTTGATCTTCTGAACAGGCACAAAAAATTATGTTGTGCATACAAGGGTGATGCTAAGCTGATGCATCTTATTTCACCCAACATTAGCAGTCCTTTTTCTTCACTTCTGTTCAATATGTTTCTGCAGTGGTTTGTTGAAAATTAATAGAAACAACCTATGTACAATTTTCTATGGCCTGGTTCTATGTTGAACAGAACATACATCTTGTTGTGTTCGGATACTTTGAAGCTTACCCTTCTATCTAGGAACTCCTTTTCATTCACCTAGCTATATAATGGATCTTCGAGGCTGAAACCTGGCACACTATATCATTCCGAAACTCCTGAGTCCTGATAACAAGTATACACCTGAATCAATGTTTTAGTCAATGAGTAGTTCAGTTCTATTTATTTCATGCAACCACTCTACGTCATCTTTCATACATCTACATACATGTGAATACGTGATTAGATAATTTATTAATGATCCATGACCCTTTGATCTGCTAGAGTAAGTTTCATGATGCAACACATCAGTAGTTAAGAATTATCCTAATTATCCAGTTATTGATAGAATTCATTTTATGAAGGTACTTGACGAATACCAGAAGGCTTTCGGGGACTCTTGGAAAGCTGCTACAAAAGATGCAACAGATGCTGCCCAACAGTGGCCTTTCTTGACAGATGCTTTGACAAAGTTTCAGGTAAAGCTTTCCATGAACAAAAATACAATCTGTTTATGGTTTCATTGATCAGAGGTAATGGAAATGTTCTACAAATATTGTTACACACTATTGACCTGGGGTCAGGGGATATTTTACCATCTCCTTTATGGAGGACAACCGAACCTTACAATAAACAAAGAAAAGTGTAACTGAAGAAGTTCATTTGTTTTACAATGTATTCTTCCATCATCTCAATTGAAATATGCTATGCTTGTTCTTGGATGAAAAGAGAAATGTCCATTAGCCATATGATAAGTTATTTGCTGCTTTTGGTTGGTGTCTGAACATATTATATGCTTTCGACTTATTAAGACAACTGCTTTTGTTTGTGATTTTCTTCTTGTCCTTGTTGGTCCAAACTGCCAGTACTTAAACACGCACTGCATCCTGCATGAATGTTTTCTTATGAGATAACTTGATTTCATTATTTTGTAGGACCCTGCAGAGGCTGACAAGTTAATGAAAATCCAGAGGGACTTGGATGAAACAAAAATTATCCTAGTAAGTATTTCTTACCAGAAAAAAAAATTATAGAATAGCTCTGCCATTCATATTGGTAAATACCAACACTTCTTGTTCTAACAAACTCAATGACCCGATCTTGTGCTGGAGCTTACGATATTGACTTGAATTCATATTATCTACTGTTATGAATTGATATCTCATAACTTATTTTTCATATGGGTAAAACTGCTTGCTGATGTGCATTGTTTATGTTCTAATATTTGAACAGCATAAAACTATTGAGAGTGTGCTCCAAAGAGGGGAAAGATTGGATAGCTTGGTTGAGAAGAGTTCAGACCTGAGTGCTGCTTCACAGGTAATCATGTGTTTTCATGTTTGCTTTTTTACTTGATGAGTGCTTCTTACTTTTTGTTCTCACTGTGATTCCTCAAGTACATTTGTTTAGGACTACACATATTTTTCACGCGCATATGTCTGTTGAATTAGTGGGGTTTTCTTTTCTATTATGAAGAAATTGCCAACCATGGAAATATTGTATAAGCAAATCCTTGATTATGTAAATAGTATATATGAATCTGTTGGTTATGGCACAGCTATACTTATGCCAGGTTTTTGGCTGTAGCCTATGATAATTCTAGTCTGTTTATTATGTGACGGGAGCAAAATATGATAGAACCTTAAGCCCCTGTTTGTCTAGGCTGTCATTCGTCTATTTCAGTTGTAGAATCGCTGGACCCTTTTTAACTTACATTTTTTGTTTGTTAAGTTTTATCTTGATTACCGTTTGTCTCCAGAATTTTGTTGAGGGATATTGTTTTTCTTTTCTTCCAGATGTTCTACAAGCAGGCAAAGAAAACAAACCAATGCTGTACTATACTCTGAAGTTTGGACTTTCCTGTCCTTAAGATGAAGACTCCAGGTTAATTTTGCTTATGGACATAAGAACCCACTTTTTCTGTATTTACTAGTTTCATTTAGGTCCGTTCCCGTAAAATAAATTTCACCATATGTATGACTTCTTACCACACTTTTTTGCCCCCTTTTCAGAAGCCGACCGATACTGTTTAGTTCTACAGTAAGATCAATTGCCGTGAATCGTGCCAAAGTAAAACTGTCAAAACTATTATTCTTTGGTGATGAAGGAACCTTCCAGGGTTTATGTTCCAGAGCAACTAACACATTCATTGAACTGCATGTCCCGCCAGCAATCGCCAACATCTTGTTTCCACTGGATAGATTGTTGAATTCTCAAAGCATGTTGGAGTACACGCTCTGTTTGCTACTCGTAATTTATGTTATTGATATGATTGGTATTTGATGTCTCTACTATGACTACAGTATTTTAAAGGTACACTCGATTACATTGCCGGTAATAGGCATATAGTAGTTGCGTACCATGTCGAGTTGATCATGAGTTCATGACCAGCCCCGTGTGAAATCCTCGGTTCAAGTTCTTTCTGAGTTGCATATACCATCGCTTTACCTCAACGGACAATAAATGAGCAGGACTTTTTACTCGGATTATCCGTCGCATATGCTTGTCAAAAGTATGAATCTATTCACTGAACCACTAAATACGAAAGGCAGACGAATCCAGTAGGATAAGTCAAATGGGGTGTGTTTTATTTCTAACAAAAGTTGGATGTTTGAAGAAAATTGGGAATTTGGAAAAAAAGTTAAAAGTTTATGTATAGTAAAGTTTTTGGTGTATTATGATGTGATGGAAAGTCAGAAATAGGGGAAAACTAAACACTGCCATGGTAAAGCAGCTCTTCCCCGAGCTGACCGGAAGCTCGAGCAGCCTAGCGTGAAGGTAAAGCGTCCAGTCGCCTGCGAGTCCCCCTCCCGCCCTGTAGCTCTCACTCGAAGTCGAACCCGGTGCCATATTCCACGCGTAAATGCTAGGCCATTAAAGGCAAACAACTTCTACCTTGGAGAGTTGGAGGCTTGGAGCCCATTTGCGAGACCCCCTCTCCGGTTAACCGTTTCGCCGTCACATCGGGCGCACAGCTTAACACGACGTACTTGGTCATAATCTCGCACCATCCACGTCGGCGTCGGCGTCGGCGCCTCTGCTCAACAACAACTACACCCCCGCTAGCTTGCTGCGTTGCCGTAGTACGTGGCGGTACAGGACAAAGCCGTGCTCGCCTCTAGTAGCTCGACTTAGCTCGGGCCTCGATCACCTGGGGGGCGAAACGCGACGACCACAAACGCACACGGCCACCGCGCTACCAGCCATCGCGGATAGAGGGGATAGGCCTCCGCGCCGATTCCGTTGGAGCTCCTCGCCCCTCGGCTCCCAGCCTCACTTTCTCCCCTCGCTACCTCCCAAAACCCCTAAAAAAAACGCCCAATACGTACACCGCGCCCGCGTCACGTCACCTCACCGGGTCAGTTCCCGCGCCGTGTGACCAATACTCAACACTTAAACCGCGCGCTTTTTAGCCGACCCGAGCAGCCGGAGAGTGAGGCGAGGCGAAGCGAAGGGAAGAGCGCGAGGCAGAGTAAGCAGACGAGAAGAACAGCGCGCGGCGCGGTAGCTGAGGAGAGTGGTGCGGAGATGGATCACGAGGCGGACGCGTACCGGACGGACCTGATGACGATCACGCGGTACGTGCTGAACGAGCAGAGCCGCAACCCGGAGGCACGCGGCGACCTCACCATCCTCCTCTCCCACATCGTGCTTGGCTGCAAGTTCGTCGCCTCCGCCGTCAACAAGGTCACACGAATCCTCCCGTTGTTTCATCGTTAGGCGTACGGATCTCTCGGTTCTCACTCTACTGATTGGCACGCTGAACAAAACTTCTCGGGTTGTGCATGCAGGCCGGGCTCGCCAAGCTCATCGGGCTGGCCGGCGAGACCAACGTTCAGGCAAGTGTACCTGGCAATAACTGTCATCTTTCTCAGTTTCTTGTCTCTGAGATTGAGATAGTGAGGACTGAGGACTTGCTTGGTGTGACCAGGGAGAGGAGCAGAAGAAGCTGGACGTGCTGTCCAACGAGGTGTTCGTCAAGGCTCTCGTCAGCAGCGGCCGCACCGTACGAACTCACTCTCTTCTCCCCTTAAACCATTTCTTTGCTCAGAGTGTTCTCAATATTTATGGTTTTTCACTGCGATCGCGTGCAGTGCGTTCTTGTCTCCGAGGAGGACGAGGAAGCGACGTTCGTGGACCCTGCGCTGCGTGGGAAGTGCGTAGCTTCGGATCAGAAACGCGACCTCTCTGCTTCTTGATTCGAGCAATCTGTTGTTCTGTTTTTCCTGACAAAATACATGCATGGTGCCGGTTTTTTTTACAGGTATTGCGTGTGCTTTGATCCACTCGACGGCTCCTCCAACATCGACTGTGGCGTCTCCATCGGAACGGTGCGTACACATGAAACCACCAAACCGAAAAGATAACACTGACAACTCGGAAGAACGGCAAGTCGCTGTTCAATTTGCAGTTTTGGCATCCTTCTAGGATGGTGACGTGAAAAAGGGAGAACTTTTGGCCAAAGCAACATATGAAAAATACTATTCCTCCATCAGTTGTGAATTACTGCTAGCATGCTTTTCTGAGGACACGAGTACTGCTTTCAAAAACTGAAAATTTCAGCAGCAAGGTGTTGTGTGAGTGTGACAGTGAAAAGTTGATAGCAAGTCTTAACTTTTAACGGATTCTAGACTCTAGGGTCAACTTGAATTGTCTTCGAACAATACTCGATTCGATTCGTCAGAAGGACCTTTAATGGATTCCTGTACTACATGTTCTTTCTCTTGTTTTATAGATCTTTGGGATCTACATGATCAAAGATAAGGAGAATGTGACTCTTGAGGACGTGTTACAGCCTGGAAAAAACATGGTTGCTGCTGGATACTGCATGTACGGCAGTTCCTGCACGGTAATCGACCTCCTAATCCATCCTACTCTATAAATGTCATAATTCTCACCTGAATATAACCTGTGTAACTAATTTGATGCAGCTTGTTCTGAGTACTGGAAATGGTGTCAATGGCTTCACACTTGATCCATCTCTCGGGGAGTTCATATTAACTCATCCAGACATCAAGGTTTATAAGACAATTTTTTTTGACTAACTGTTTATGAGACAATTAGTAGTGATACTTCCGTCTTTTAATGTACACTGATGAGCGGGCAAAATACTCATATGTGTGTTCTATGCTTCACTCTGTGCAGATACCAAAGAAAGGGAAGATTTATTCAGTGAATGAAGGGAATGCGAAAAATTGGGACGAGCCTACCGCAAAGTACGCGCTACTTATGTTTTCAGAATAGTGTACTTCCTGAAGAACCTGAGCTAAAATCTACAACAATCATTTACAGGTTTGTGGAGAAGTGCAAGTTCCCTAAGGATGGTTCATCACCTAAATCCTTGAGATACATTGGAAGGTGATCATTTTTTTTGGGTGACAATGTATATAACCTAGCTGTAGTTATTAATAGGAGCTTTTTTGACCCTCTGTTGTGATTCATAAAAGTTTCTAATAGGATGTAATCACCACCAATTAACATTGTAGTGACAGTATTGCTTCCTGATGATTTGCAGTATGGTTGCTGATGTCCACCGTACGTTGCTATATGGAGGAGTATTTTTGTACCCTGCAGACAAGAAGAGCCCAAATGGAAAACTCCGGTACACATTAAGCCTACTCTCGGCATCTCACTTCGCTTATGGTACTTCCAATTTCATATTGATAAACAATTCTGAATTCACCAAATCTTGGAATTACAGTGTTCTGTATGAAGTTTTCCCCATGTCATTCCTGATGGAGCAGGCTGGAGGCCAGTCTTTCACAGGCAAAGAACGGGTACTTATTTCTTCATTCATTTCATCTTGATTAAAACAGCATGCATGTTTAGTATTAGCATCTTGAGTTCTTGAATCCTGATACATTGTTCAAACTTGTTGCTACATTGGCAATGCAGGCTCTTGACCTCGTTCCTACCAAGATTCACGAGAGATCCCCAATATTTCTTGGAAGCTTCGAAGATGTGGAGGAGATCAAAGGGTTGTACGCTGCACAGGCGAAGTAAGCTCGGTTTGATCGATCTGGCACCATCAAGGCGTGCGAATGGACTCCCTGGCCTTACTGTAACATGCATGATTCGTCAGGCACTTCTTTTATTCGTCTTACTGTACGTTTGTAAAATTCAGTGTAATAGTGTTGAGGCCTGGAACAGCTTCATGAGCAACTAAGGCCTTTTCTACTATTATTTACAAAATACATACACCGTGCATCTCTAGCAGCTAAAGCACTAATACAACAAGTCACTAAGGCAAACCTGTGCTTCCTGTCTTCCTGGCAAAATATTTTTTCAGTTTTGGGTACCCCTTTTGAGTAGATATTTTACGGTCCTTCAGAAAGTGTACCTGCGGTGCGGGTATCAAAATTTTACACTAAAATTTTAGTACCTCAAGGTAGTTTGGCACTTCTATTAAACACATGATCAATGGCGGTGAAGGATTGTTCTGGTGTTATACTACTGGTCTACTGCCCCAAGTGCTCAATGTACTGAGCATACAGATCCCTGCAAACTTGCAAAGATGTCATCTTGCTGTTACACGTGTAAACTGTAAACTACTCAATATATCGTTCTAAAATCTGAACTGATGGACAGTTCATCACTTACATGGAATACTGGATGGCATCCCGAGCAGCGGTCACAGGCAGTACCTCATTCACGGCGACCTCCTTGTTTTCATTCTTCTTGTCTGAATAAGTTCAGAAACTACAGAGTTAGCTGAAGAAGAATAAAACATTGGTCAGTGCAGCGATTTGAGAACTAGTAGGAACATACAGTCTTCAAAGAAACGCCGGATTTCCTGGACGCGATGAGGCGAAAGCTCACTGAGATCGTTGTAGTGGCGGTACTCAGGATCGTCCACGCAGACGGCTATGATCTTGTCGTCCTTCTCTCCCTGTCTCATTGAAGATTTAGCTCCAATCGGTCAAGCTGGAGTCGCGGTTGACGATGAATTTGTATTGAAAATGGATGCGGGGTAGAACCGACCTGATCGATCATGGGCATGAGTCCGATGGCCCTAGCTCGGAGAAAGCAGCCGGGAATCACTGGCTCCTGCAATTAAACGTTTGGACATGTGTTGCAGTGATTATCGCACAATTTATAACAGCATCAGCATATACAGTTGAAGGATGATCACCTGCATGAGCACTAGAACATCCATTGGATCGTTGTCTTCGCAGAGCGTTCGAGGGATGAAGCCGTAGTTGTGGGGGTAAACCACTGACGAGTACAAGACCCGATCAACCTGTACAACAAGAGCCCAAATGGTAAAAAAGTTCCACAGAGCATATGGTCCCTGACGTGAGTGTATAAATACAGTGTTTGATTACAGACCATGATGAACCCCGTTTTCTTGTCGAGCTCGTACTTCACCTTGCTTCCCTTGGAGATCTCCACAACCTATCCACGCAAAACCAAGAAGAAACGCATCGTTAGTCAAGTGAGTGTAAATCCAAGGGAAGAATCCCTTGTGGCGTGGCATGTGGCGAGGGCGCTTACAACGTTGAACACAGCCGGAGCGTCAGCGCCTGCAAATACAGAGAAAACCCCACGGTGTTAGCATCGGCAGATAGGCCGGCGGGCCATGATCTTCATCGGCGCGGGGGCGCATGTTTGTGAGAGAAGGAGAGAGAGAGAGAGAGAGAGAGAGAGAGCAAAAGCTCAGTGAGCTCACCGGTGTCGAGGTCGTGCCAGGGGTGCGCGGCGACGGACCTCCGCGACAGCGACGAGAGGATCCTCTCGTTCAGCCGCGGCGCCGGCCGCTTCGGCTTCGCCCCCTCGCCTCCGTCCGCCTCGCTCATTTCGCACGCGTGTTACGTGTGGGGGTGTACACGAACGTCCCGTACTCCCGTCTCCCGTGTCGCGGGCTCTCGGCGTCTGTTGTGTTTGCGCGCACGCACCGCATATATGCGGTCGCGGCGGGAGGCGGTACGTACCACGTAGCCCCGCCACGGCCCGCCGCTTCTCGCGAGTTCATGCGGACTTTTCCTCGGAGGCGACTGCTTTGCCTTTGCCGTTGCCGTTGCGCCTGATCGACAACTGGCGACGCGGGAGGCGGAACCCGGCCACACTTGAGATTGCTCGCTTCGTGGCCAAATTCTGGCTCTTTGCACGGTTAATATTGTGCCGGTCGGTGCGTTTTGGGAAGATGCTGCACGGGGTGGTCCATAACTTGGAGCACCGTCCATGGACGGGGAAGTGACGCGAGCGGCTCTCGCTGCAACCGCTCACGCTCCTGTGCTGGCGTGGGATGTGGCGTGGGATTGGGATCCACGGTGAAGTTAGGAGGTGTACTGTATCTGTGACTTTGGGGTATTTTCAGGCGTCGGATTTGCAGCGAATGAACTAAGATAGATCGCTACAGTAGAGAACAAACAGTGTTGCCGTACAGTTCGGTTTACTGTTTGTATAGAGGCAGCCTCCATATGTGTCGCCAGAAGTAAGGGCCATTAAACATCTCTATAAAAATACAAATACTATGCATTATACTGTTCACTTGATCGGTGATCAGTGTTGTTCCCTCGAAAAAGAAAAAAAAGGACTTCTTTTATGGACACCATTCAGTAAATATGGTTCAGATGAACCCGTCTACGAAAAAAAAATGCTGTCCTAAGCACCAAGGATCGTACAAACCTAACGAACAGAGCAGATTGACAGCCTCCATATGGAATTTTGCATCAAAGCTACAGATAGCATATAATGCTCAAACAGAACAGGGGAAAATATAATTAATTTTAAGTCAGAATTACACTAGAAAAAGTTTTCAGTTTCGAATCATTTGAAACAACACATGTACAAGTAGGTGCCGTACATACACTCTACAAGTTGTTGCAAAGGATGAACATAAGTTCAGTTCCAAAAAAAAAAAAGGAATGAACATAAGCTTCTGAATTCAGAAAACATAGAGACATGTGGACTCACATTAACCCAACTGACATTACCAGTTTCGCCTATTTGGATCTACTGTGTTGATTATTGCTTCAAGCTTTCAAACAATTGTGAAACCAATTCCAAAACTAAGAGAAGTATCTAACAGTTCAATGAGCATTCTGACAGAAACATCTCAGTGAAGAACATCTCTAGTATCAACACATCAACCTATAAAAATCATTTTTACAGGCCTTCTGATAGAATTCACTTTAAAGGAAGTCGAAACCAACACAGACCAAAGAAGCAAAGCAAATGCTGAAGGGAAGTGGTTCATTTTCTATCAGATGTCAGCATGCATGCAGATCTCCAAGAAATTAATAGTGCAAGCAGCAAATGCACTTACAACACAACGATATGATTTTAAACTAGTTACCACTTTATTGTCCCCAAACTAGCTGAGAACTACTTATCACATAAACTAAAAGCCATCATACACCTAGCACCAAACACAATTGTATGATCATATCCAGTTTTATTGGTCCAGCAAGCAGTGAGAATAGTTTATTCTTAATATTTGTCGGCTTCACCAAAAATACAGAGACTAAATGCTCAAGTAAAACAATGTGGCATTATAGAACCCCTAGTAGATACTAGCAACTATGTCAGGCTGTGAGCCAGTCAACTTATAGTAGCAGCAATAAACAATACTAGATCAATCATGAAGCAACTGCACTTTATCTCTACAATCAAACAACCTAGTTCGAGGGGAAAACAATCCAAGTCCTAGGACTAAATATTAACTAGATGACAATTTATCGGCAAAGTTGCGAAATAGGATCATTATCTAGACGGCAATTTATTGGCAAAATTGTGAAATAGGATCAACTGCCAAGCACATGACGCGGGAAGCACGCAAAGTTACTGAAATTTCTAAGCAGTCAAGCATAGTATCATTCCAATTCTGCCATTGTATGCACATTATTCAAGCAGAGAGAGCTGACGCACATCTCAAACACCCATGACAAACGCTACACCAAGTGCATCGGTTCACTCGTGGTGCATATGTGATCGAACAGTTTGGAGGTGTGAGTTCAAGAACTACTTAAGCCTGGGGCGCCTTATCGGCGGCCGGCTCCGGCTGGGGCTGCGCCTGAGCAGGGGTGAGCGCCTTCTTGATGGAGACGGCGTGGATCTCCGCCATGTGCGGCGCCAGCGCGGTGTTCACCATCCGGTGCCGCTCCAGCAGCCGCTTCCCCTCGAACTTCTCCGACACCACCTCAATCTCGTAGCTCGCGCCGCACCTTCACACCAATCGATCAACCAGTCACCAAACACAAGATCTCTTCTCTTTCGTTCGTAACAATGGAAGCAAGCAAATTAAATACTCCTATACAAAGGTGAAGAACAATTGGAGTTTGGGGGTGAGGAATTACCCGCCGGAAGTATCCGTCACCACCTGAAACCGTGGAACCAAAGCAGAAGCGGCAGTTAGGGTTTAGAACGGCAAAAGGATGATGGATAAGCGGCGAGGGTTTAGGGAAGAGAGACTCACGAGGCTGGAAGGGCTGAGGGAGGAGGTGATGGCGGCCTCGACATCCTCCTTGGTGACGCCCATGGCTCGCGCGTCTCTTCGCCGCCTCTGCCTCTTCGAATCTGTGTTCTTCTGCGGGTTGAGCGAAGGAGGAAGACGACTTGGGATGGCGCCGGCCGTTTCACCCTCTCCTTTATTTGACCTCTTTCAGTTACCAGAAATATTCCTACTTGATGTGGATTGGGAATCATGAAAAGGTTTTTTGTTCTTCCCAATCTCTCCGCTGGATTGGGAATCGAATCTTCGGTTTGATCCCGGGCATTCTCTTTTCTATGGTGGTGAATTTTCGCTAAATTCATTCTTTTCTATGTGGTGAAATTTAGTTAAATCCATTCATGTTTCCCGAAGAAATTCGAATATTTTTGGCTAATACTTTGTGTCGTACTTTTTGTGTTGTTGGCTTGCTGTTTAGAACTTTAGATGGATACAATTTCATGACCGGGCGTGAGGATTTGGGGCGAATTCAAGCATGGCTGGAATGAAGATTGACTTTGCTGGTCAGTGAATAGTTTATAGATCTCTTTTTGTAGCTAATGAAATGATCATGTAAAATGTGTCTTTTCTGCAAGCCCTGGAGACACCGCTGCCGTGTGGCTGTTTGGCTGTTTGGCTGTGATAAGTCTTGGGACGGTGATACGTTCCCTGTTTGGCTGGGTGTTGTGATGTGAATCATATACGCTGTAAAAATGTTACAACTTGCTGGCTCTTTTTTAATAGAGATTGGAACAGGGTGTTCTTGGCATGTGGATCTACAAAAATTACGCAAGACATCACCACAACAAATATTAGTGCTTCGGGATTGAGTTGATTAATCTGGTAACAAAAGGTTGATTCAACATGACAGTAGAAACTAGCACCTCGATCAGAAATTGTTACACAATTGTATCATATGCTAAAACTAGAATCCATCAGAAATAGTAGCACTTCAGCACATAACACATGCCATTGATTAAAAAATACACATTACTCATGGTTGACAATCGGCAGGAGCTTCCTTCATACTTCATGCCGTTCGGAGGGGTGGAGAAACCAAAATGACACCATCACCTCGAACAAAAAGGAAGGGGATAGTGCGTTTTGTGGTCTGGAAAAAGACACGATTTAGCAATAGTTAGTACAGCATCAACATGTTCACCAGAAATTTCAGAATATAGCAGTAAGAAATATGTCCCAAAGCATCAGATTATTCCCAATAAAAAGTATGTAACCGCAATTATGTTACACTAAACCAGCAGTTAAGCACTATATGCCCAGCAGTCTAAGCACCATAGGTACTTTGAGAAAAAAATGTGCACAACAATATAGATGTGTAGTGGCACGCACAAGGTGGCAGCCAAACAACTCATGTGCATGGGTTAAAGCAAACATATTATCCACATTGATATTCCATCATCAATCAATGGTCAGGGTTAACCAAAACAATTATAGCATGACTTTCAAAAGTACTGATCACAAAATTTGCAACAAAAGGTCAAAACACTTACGCGCACAATTTCTTCATATGTCTCATCGTCAATCTCAACTGTTGTCACGATCTCCTCAACATCTCCAAGAATCATGTTTAAATGTTGATCGTATGCCTGGATAAAGAGGTACAAGAAAGACATCTCAGCAACAGCCATCCCAACTCCCAGCCATATTATGTTATAATATGGATCTCAGCTCTCAACAATGCAGAATAAATTGTACAGATGCACTAGAAAGGGTGAGAGTATCATGAACCAAAGACATTGCAAGGCAATGTACAATTGAAAATTTTATCAGCATACAGCATTGCTATTCACATCCAACATGAGAATCTAAACAAATTTGCACAACCTCACCATGATGCTAAGGGGTTATTAAAGTGAGAGTCACGTAAAGCCTGGAATCATCTCCTGCTCGACTGCTACCCCCACTATCCTGAATAGTTCACACACAATTTCGACAAATTCCCACACAATGTCAACTACGGGAGTGCTTATTATCCTTCCTCACAATTTTTTTTTTACAGAGGCACTGTAATTTTGTTCCGCATGAATACATGGCTCATAGATTGCCACAACTAGTTAGGATTATCACCGTGGTATCAACCAGACAAACCAAAATCCCCATACAAAGCGAGTCGTCGCCTTACATCTGTAACTACAAGAGAGCAGGTCACACCAAGCCAGCAAAATCAGGTTCCCAACAGTAGAGTATTCCCCGTATTTCCCCTCCACAGAGAAGGGCCAACCACAAGCAAAGCACGAAATTCGAAGAACAAACAATAGGAGGAGAAGCAGGAGCGTTTACATACATGGAGCTTGCCGCGGAGCTCGCGGTCGGACCTGAGCTTGACGTAGATGCGCTCGTCGAGGCTGAGCCTGATCAGATCCAGCGGCTCCTTCACCGCGATCTCCTCCTCAGCCGCCGCTGCCGCCGCCGCCGCCGCCATCGCCTCCTCCTCCCCTCCGCCGCGCGCCGAGACCTAAACCCTAGCTTACCCAACTGAACTCGCCAAGCTGCGGGTAGGCTAACACCGCTGGTGTCGCTTCGGCTTCAGATGCGCTCGCGTTTTTTCCTGGTGGTGAGATGCGGCCTTAAGGCCTTTTGCTGTGTCTCGGTTGCGGCGCCCACGCGACAATCGCCTGGAAGCCCAATGGGCTTTATTAATAGGCCTAATTTGCACAAATTGAGACTTTCAGATCCCTACTTTCAGACTGGAATAAGTTCACTTTGACTCCCTTAAAAGTAACCCGAATCTAATATATGTCTCTCAACCGCAAAACCGGATAGAACGACTCCCTAAACTATTGAAACCAGTGCAATTTGACTCCCTTGGTGGTTTTGGAGGGTGGTTTTGCTGATGTGGCGCTGACGTGGCGATGTTGACCTAGTTTTCGTCCCACGTGATATTAGAATTAAAAAAAATCTATGGACCCACATGTGATTCACACATAAAAAATATTGTGGGCCCCACTGACATGTGGGCCTACATGTCATTCACTCTCTCCTTCCCCCTCCCTCTCTCCACGTTCTCTCTCTTTATCTCCCCCATTTCTCTTCACCTTCTCTCTCGTAGCGTAATCTGCATGCAAGGGCGGCGACGGCAAGCGGGAGCCGGAGTGGCGGCGGCGGCGGCGGCGATGGCTGACGCGGTAGCAGCGGGCGGGCGCCAGCTTCCCCATCGCCATCGACCTTGACCTCGGCGTATCCGCATGCGTGATGGCGGCGGTCTCCGAGGATGCAGTCCACGAACCCAGCCCGGCAATCCGGCCAACCCCCACAATGCTCCACGGGTCAGCCTCGGCAGAGTCGAGCAGCAGTACAACAAACACACCAATGTAGCAGCATAGGAGAAGGCGAGCAAGCAAGAGGATGTGTATAGCTGTATAGCTCGATTACTTCCTGCTCATCAAAAATCATGTCGAGAAGGTGATGATATGCCTCGCCTTCATCCCAAGGCAGGCATCGCTACATGCATACCATCATGGCCAAAGGCGAGGATGGAGCTCGGCCTTCTCCTGGCGCCTAGCCCAAGGGCTTCGACCTCTATGGCTGGGCGTACAGTGAGGGACTCCATCGGCACCACGGTGAGGATACTCTTTGGCGGGTGTGCTCGTTGGCGCCATCGCCGCCGCTGCCGGCACTGAACGTGAGCAGGCAGATCATCGGGACGCTGACCGACTTGACGCTGCGCGCCATCATGGGGAGTGCGGCTTCCGGTGGCGTGAGGAGTTCCTGGAGACGCTGGGCGAGGCGCAGAAGAAGGCGATTAGGTTCGGCGTCGCTGACCTGTTCCCGTCGTCGAGGCTCCTCCCCGCCGTCGAGAGCCAGAGTGGTGACGGCCGGCGGGAGCTGACACGGGAGCTAGCTGGAGCGGTGGCGGAAGTGGGCTGGAGCTGACGGAGGCTGGGAATAATCCAGCGCGCTAGTCAGAGGCAGCCGCAGCCGCAGCTGCCTCGTTGGAGGTCTGTGGCGTGGGGCGGTTTCCACCGCCGCCGCCACTCAAGCCCCTCTTGTCGCCGCCTCCTTCTCCTCCGCCACCACCCGCGTTAGCTCCTACCTGCCGCCGCTTCAGCTCCCGCCGACCGCCAGCACTTCGGCCCCCGCCCTGCCGCCGCTCCAGCCGTGCTCCCCGTGGACGGTGGAAGGGGAGAGAAAGAGAGAAGGGAGAAAGAGGGGGAGGAAGAAGAAAGAGAGAGGATGACATGTCAGTGGGCCCCACTTTTTTTTTTGACAAATGGGTCCCACATATATGTTTTTAATTAAATGCCACCTAAGCGCCACATCAAGACCAGACTAGATCAACACCGCCACGTAAGCACCACGTCAGTGAAACCACCATCCAAAACCGTTAAGGAAGTCAAATTGCACCGGTTTCAATAGTTTGGGAAGTCGTTCTATCCAGTTTTGCGGTTGAGGGTCACGGATTAGATTCAGGTTACTTTTAAGGGAGTCAAAGTGGACCCTTTCAGACTTGTGTGGCCTAATTAGGTGGGCCAGGATAGCACGATTCAGCTTTCTGCTGATTGTAAATTTTAGATGTTTCGGCTGTTCTGTCCCATAAAAAAATATCGGGACTACCTATATGTTTGTCGACAAATTTTTCTTCAAAAATTTGACAGATGTAATTATAGTATAATCGTAGTGTAATTACACTGTAACTTACATGTAACTACAATGTAACTTATATGTAAGTTTCACATAATTTTGAATCGTTAGATCTATTACAAGATTTGTTTTGGTGAGGAAGAAAACAAATTATAGCACACACATATGTGAAAGAATTTGTTCCCACGACCTCCATTTTACCAAAATAACATGTTACGGAGAGATTTTTGAAAGTTACATACAAGTTACACTATAGTTACAGTGTAATTACATACAAGTTACAGTGTAATTACACTACGATTGTACTGTAATTACATCTGTCAAATTTTTGGGAAAAAATTTGTCGACAAATATATAGCAAAATCAAAAAATATGGGGCATTTGCAAATTTGTCACCGGTTTTTTCAATATTGTAAGGATGCCACTCAAATGACAGTTCTAGTGGTATTTTTGTAATTTTTTAGTGGCAGTTTTGTAATAACGATTTAAAGTAGCGGTAAATTTACAATTGCCCCCAAAAAAAAATATAGGATGTAACATACCATACGTATTACTATATTCTTTTTAAATGGGATAGACAGAGTACCTGGTAACCGGGAAAAAGAACAAAACAACCCAAATTAATTTCTAGGTAAATTATTTATCTGTGATAGCTTTTAAAAGTTAAGATTTAAAGACTGGAAAATAGATTACGATTAAATAAAAACCTAGAATCAACTCTAATATTAAGTTTTAATATTTAATTATGTTGTTGTGGCTTAAGCCAACAAGTAGAGAGAGGCTTAGCTCCTATGTAAATTCTATAAATCTACAATTAATTTTCTGAAAATTGCTCAGGCCTTGAAAATATTTTTTTCGTGAAATCTCCTATCTCGGTCAAAATTCCAAAAGCAACGCCTCATGAAGGGATCGTTTATTCGTTTGTATAAAACAGGACTAAGTATAACATAGCTGTATTATTAACTGATATGTCATTACGATTTCCAAGTTTGTTGGCACCCAAATAATCCTTTTCGTCTAAAAGCCAGGAGTTCGTATGACTAATGCCTTCCATTTCCGTTTACCTTCTTTGCTTCTTCCATTTTATAGGGTGACGTGACATGATTTATCCTTGATTTGCATGTCTGATAGTAATATTAGAATGATCTTTGTTTTTATGTGTGACGAAACGCCATCTTGCCGCCCTCCTCCGCCTTTTGTCCTCCTCTCAGTAACACGTACCCTTTTGTTGTCTTGTGTTCTGGACGCTGGCATGGATAGGAAGAAGTTCGAATCCAATTCGAACTACCGCTTTCGTCGACGTTATAGTGGCAATTTCTTATGCACACGAAACGCATTTGAGTATTCGAAAAACGCCATCTGATGATGATCTACGACGCTTATTACAACCACGCAGCTTTCACAAAAGCGAAAGGCAACTCAGTGACTCAATTGGGATGCAGTGCAGATGAAAAAAAAGTAAGCTTTGGTCGGCACAGATGTCCTCAGCCTGAATAGGTGGTTGTACCTGACGAATATATGTATTGCCCCTCTTGGCATTTTCTTTCTCTGTGTTTTATATATTGCCTCGTTCTTCTTCTCCAAAAGTCTAACCTTTTATCGCCATCAGAAAAAGGGAGAAAAAGAGATGGTGAGCTCTACGTTCTTGTGGATGTGGTGCCTATGCTGCAAACGTTTATACTGCTGTGTAGAAGTAGTAGTAGTAGTGATGTTGCCTTGCTTTCACTGATCCTGCCGTTGAATAAAAAGAAGCATCGGTTGCATCAATCTGCCTTTCGCCTTCCTCTTTTCATCTTGACACAAACGTATCGGTTAAAAGCAGAAAAGTCGTATGCAAGGGTACAGAAGCATGAAACCAACGCATCTTTTAATCTGACAGCATATGCTACACAAGCTGCAAGATTTGACAATACGAGCAAAGGGTTTAGCTGCAGCAGTCCAGAACCAAATCATTTGTTTGTAAACAAGAAGTTTGACTAACTACATTCTCTACAAGAGAAGATAATGAAGAGAAATCGAGATGATAAACCAGTTGCTTGCGTTTATCTTTTCCTGTTTTAATTTCCATCAGGATTGCTGGCAATTGCGTACGGCCATCTTATCGTCTGCCCCGGCCTGATTCGTGCGACGACCTCGAAGGAGTTTTAGTTAGCGCAGACGCAAGCAGATGGAATTGTTTACATGGTGTAGTGGTTGAAATGACGAAGCCGATGATTTCATCCAACCATCTGATAATCTATCAGATCCTTTGGTCGCCAAATCCTTTTCTGTACGGCACGTCTCGCACAACGCCACTGTTTCTCGAAACCTGAAGTTCTGTTGTTTTTTTTTTCCTTTTCAGAAACACGGCGAATTAAGGCTTAAATAGGCCTGTCCTTGTTTATCATTATGCCATGATGTTCAGATCACTGACAGAAACGCGCCACCAAAACCTCGCCCCGGGCCGCGACATTAAAAACTGCCGTCTCATTTGATCCAAATCTAATCTGGCCCCTCACCTGAGTGAGTGACTGACATCTCCGGTCACTGAACGCAGCGCACGCGCGCGGCAGGCCTGCTCGCCGGCCGGAAGCTTCCTGGCCGCGCGCGCCCGTGTGCTCTCCCGCTGAGCTAACGGCGATGGCGCCGCGCGCGCCGTGAGGGCGCCGTGTCGTGACGACTTGCCGCCTCGCTGTCTCCGGCTGAACTGAACTGAACAACCGACGTCGTACTTCTCCCGTCCAAACAAATTCTATTAAAAATTGATTAAATAACCATACCATTTTAAATTTTAAGTTTAAAATAATAAGTATTTAAATAATCGTACCATAATTCACATGTTTTACTAGTAGTATTTTCTCCCATCCACCCCATTCAAACACTCCTCACACTACACTACCGAGTTCTTAAAAAAAAAAAAACTACACTGACGGAGTACTCACCCGCGCATCGACTGGCTGCAAAGGTTCAGAGGCAAGAATAC